CGCTTTGACCATGAATCAACATTAATTGAAGTTTTCGGTAACCTACGTGTCAGGAAGCTATGTTATTTAAATTCTGAGAAATAAAGCTTTCCATTGATGCCAAATACGATGTGGTTGGGCGATTCTTAGTACAAGAATCGAATCGGTAAAAATTAAAAACATTAAAAAAATACTTTTTACTCAATTATATGTTTAAATAATAACAGTTTACAAAATTTTCAATCTTTTAATAATTAATTTAAATTTATTTATAAAATGTTTAAAAAGGATTTTGAAACAAAAATATCGAAACCTAGAAATGCTCAAAAATATGTATTTTAGCAGATTCTTCAGTAGCACTGCCCTTTAACATTTGAGCTTGTTTGTCACACAGCACAAGGTCTTTTACATGCTGTCTGTGATTCCACGTTTATCTGCTAGCTTTACCTTTGGGCTGATCTAGCTTCTACCTTTACCTTTGGGCTGATCTACTTGGGGAAGGTAATCTTACACAGCAGTATCTGCAGACTAAAGAATTTATTCTTGAGAAATTGGTGACCAACCTAGGGGCCTTCAGATTGTTTCTGGACGAGAAGCGCTGTCATTTGGTGGAACATGCTATTGAAAAGACACTTTTAAAATTAGACCAACGTGGAATTTTAGTAGAGAGAATATTAAGGTTGAAGAAGAGAATGAGAGGAGAATATTTAATAGTTGCTGGACTCTCTCTACCTGGGCTGCCACACATTTCCCAAAATCTTGGGAATTCACTACCCGTTCCAGGACAAAAACTCACTTTTTTTTTATATTAAAAATCCCAAGATAATTTCCCTTTTTTTTTAAAAAAAAAAAACAATAACAAAAAAAAACCTCTTATATATATCATGATCTTGAGAAATTTTGGGAAATATTTTGACCAAATCTTGGGAAATTAATTGCCAGCAAATAATTAAGAAAGCACATTTTAGCTATCAAAACTAAAAAAATGCAGTTTGGTTTCTGTTAAAGTTGTTCAAGTAGAAAGTAAGAGATTTTTATTATTGTTACAGATGAATTAATGTGCACTAACAATAAATATTCAGGCTTCTAATAAAAAATTAAAAATAAGCAGAACGGGTAGTCATCAACACAAATTATCTGGCCAAGTTTTTTTTTTTGTGTTTTAAAAATAACATGACAATGTTGATATACATGATAATATATACATAAATGTATCACAAAAGCTTCGATGGGGAAACAGTTATCTCAGAGGCATGCAGTATGGAATGTTCTGATAAAGGGCTGGACACAAGACATTGAATTAAGAATCTTGCATAATGATCTGAAAGTTTCCCCACTTTCAGGGTAAGGCTTCTGTTAATGTCTCTTACATTAGTAAAGAATTACACATGCCAACTTGAAGCTTAGTTATTTTTTCAGATCTGACACTATTTTGTTGTTGGTGTCATTGGCTTTTTAAAATAATTTTATTGATAATGTTTACCATAAATTATCAATATTAAGCTTTTTTTTTTTTTTTTTAGACATCAGTTTGTAAAGAAATATAAAACTTTTGTCCTTACACATTAAAATTATATAATATATAAATATATATATGTATATATATTGTATATTTTATAACTAAACTTTTCCTTGGATTGCATTTATTATCTAAACTTAAAATGTTTCTAAATGTGTTATTTGCATAGCATATACAAAAATACAGCTTAAATATTTTTGTAGTTTTTTAATAAAAGGATAGAAACTATTTCTATTTTTCCTGGAAAATCAAAAACTTGGATCTCTATGGTACCGGTGCATGAAATAAACAAAACAAATAGATAATGGATATGGGTAAAAAAATATAAATCATTTGAATTTTTCGAAGATTATTCCGTTATTTTAACAATAGAAATATGGCTTTTTATAACAACAACATGAAACTAAATCTGACTTATCAGATGGCTTATTGGACTAGCAAAATGTAAATGGGTCACTAAGAGGACCAGTGGTGGGTAATGGGTGCAGGCGGGCTAATGTCATGATAGTAACAAATAATAAAAAGTTCATTTTTCAAATGCTTAAATATTGTCCTTCATTCCCATGTCAGTTCTCTCTCTCTCTCTCTCTCTCTCCTCTCTTCCATATTAATAAATACACATCAGTATTCTTGATTTTTTTTTCCACCTGTGTAAGCCCACATAGAAAAGTACTATTCAAACAAAATGTTCAATTACAGAATGCAGGAAAAACCATACAAAACATAAATGATACATACAACATTTTCCTAGGCCCAAAATTTCCTATTTAGTTGAAGTCCCCGGTATGGAGCGTTGGGTGGGGGAACTGAAAATGTGAACATATTGAATTTAATTGGGAAAGGGGGGGGGGGGGGGTCAGGAAAATAAAAAGACGGAATAGTTCTTCTTCTTCTTTTTTTTTTTGAGGGCCCACGATCAATGAATTGATCTTTCTGGCTCCTATGTTTCAGAGGGGTTTGCGATGTTACTGTCCATGGGTTTCNATATATATCCATCTATTTCCATGGGAAATTTATTGCCATAATGGAGAAAACATAAACATTTAAAAAAAAAAAAAAAAAAGTACCTATAAAAAAAAGTTTGCCATCCATATTGTTTTTGTGCATTTCCATCATTTCTTTGGAATCCACCCTCATGGGCTTGTGTGAGTCAATCTTCTATCAAATTAAATCCATTAAAATTACAATTTATTCATTCACATTTGATGAATATGACTTTTTTTGTTTTAAGTAATCAGAGGCAAAAGTATATGGAAATTAGGATAAACTGTGTGTTAGTTGACCTGTTGAGATCGATCATTGGATGATTTTTTTTTAGGGGGGAATCAAGTCCATTTGAATCTTTGGATGATTCGTGTTGGGGCTATTTCTGTTCTTGGGTGCGCTGATGGCTGAAACACCCAAAAATATGTCAAGTATGTAACTATCTGAGTTAATAGACCGTCTCGCTGGTGGTGGTGGAACATTGACATGTAGTAATAACTAATATCAAATTGGATTCAGATTGTTGTGCACTGGTCAAGAAACAAAGATCACTCCATACACAGCAAGAGACTAAACATCTTGTTGTCTAGAATATATATGATGGTCCAGCGCACAACTATTTTCATGTCTTTATGATGGACTTTAAATGTGGAGTGAAAATTTAGACATTAGCTCAGAGGGGTGGCCTAAGACCATCGGAAAACTCACATTTAATGTAGTAGCAATGAAAATAATTGTATGGTTGGGGGTCACCACAACATAAGAAACTGTATTAAAGGGTCGAGGCATTAGGAAGGTGGAGAACCACTGCCATAGACCAATGAAGCTCAAGAACCACTGATCTATTGCATTTGAATGCTAGGGTTCAGTCGTTTCATACAATTATAAATAACGCACAGGTGTAGAAATGTAGAAGAAAAATAAAAAGTGAACTTTCAGTTTCTTCTGGAAAAGGAAAAAAGTGGTGGGGGGTGATGGGGGGTGTAGAGCTGTTCGGGGTAGAGCAAATGGAGGAAGATACAGATACTCAAAAATTAACTTTGCCCATTTATGGAGAATTTAAAAAAACTATATTTGATCTTCCAATGTGGGAGGATAATTTTGAAACGTATACCTTTAAGCTGTGCTCAGTACATTTGAAATGTATACCTGTAAGTTGTGTTCAGTAATTTTGAAACGTATACCTTTAAATTGTGTTCAATACGTTAGAAATGTATACGCTTAAATGATGTTACATCTGGTTACTTGGTGGCCAAGTCAAAGTGTTTCCCAAGTTTAGGCCCATTGTTCAGATGTGAACATTTTAACGCAGCACTCTCACATCTACAGCTTGTTTATATTTTATGCAGTTCCAGGAACATTGATAGACAAAACAGTGTATATTTGTTAGCGAAGATCCAAAGGTGAACATTGACTCTGGTTAAATAATTCTTTAACAGCAATTAAAAAATCAAGGGTTTTGGGATTTAAGTATTCCAACTTTCGTTGCCCTGGCGTGTAACAAGCCCTGGCGTGTAACAAGCCAGAATCATATATAATGGATGCGTTGACAAATATTAATTATTTATAATAGCGCTTTACAAAATACCTGGTGGGGCGTCATGAAACTTGAAAAGTCAAGTGGTGGACCTTTTAATGGATGCGAACCCGAAGAAGAATATTTTTTATTATGAAGACCCATAGACACACTGTAATCCATTAATCTCCCCCCCCCCTTTCCAGGTTAGCCAACCCAAGGTTAACCACCACTACTAAAAAAAAATTGGGGGGTGGAGGATTTTCTTTAAAAATTTAACACAGATGTTCCCAACTTTATCTTGATGACCTCTGACAGAAGAAAGCACACAGTATTGCATAAATCCTTTCACACATGTACTATTCCACTTTGAATGAGTTGAAAGCTTCTGTTTAAAGCTATTGAAACACTCCAGAAATGTGAGTTATTAGAATCTGTGGATGTAAGACCCTGAACTTTTAGATTCATAACATGATAGCTTCAGTCACAGCTTTTACTACAAAGTCTATTCCTATTGTAATTAATTCAACATGTGCTACAGGTGTGTAATGTTGTCTTATTCATTAAAGGGGTGATACTTTATGGCCTTTCATGATCATGAAACCTATGTCACCCTTTAAAAAAAAAAAAAAAGGGTCATCAAACTACAAGTTGGGAACCACTGCTTTCAAAATTTTATTCAAATTTGTATAATTATTCAAATTTGAATAAATCATCAATTGAAGTCATAACTGATATAAAAAATGTAATTAATTCAACATGTGCTACAGGTGTGTAATGTTGTCTTATTCATTAAAGGGGTGATACTTTATGGCCTTTCATGATCATGAAACCTATGTCACCCTTTAAAAAAAAAAAAAAAAGGGTCATCAAACTACAAGTTGGGAACCACTGCTTTCAAAATTTTATTCAAATTTGTATAATTATTCAAATTTGAATAAATCATCAATTGAAGTCATAACTGATATAAAAATTAAACAAATTTAATTGCAATACAATTTTGGCACTTGTTTAAGTCTAAGTGGCACAAAAAACTGAAAAAAATTATTAAATACAAACACAGAAATAATTTTGATGCCAAATTTAAAAAAGAAATGAGACTTTTCATAATTCAAACATATGTCAATAATTTCAATCTGTAAATATAAATAATTAAATTGTTTAAATCAGGGAAGTTGAGTCAGATATTAGAAGAATCAGACAGCAATAGTCAGATAGTAGTGGACTCAGATAGTAGAAGAATCAGATAGTAGTTGAGTCAGATAGCAGAATTCAGATAGTAGCAGAGTCAGATATCAGTAGTCAGTTAGTAGTAGAATCAGGAAGCAGTAGTCAGATTGTAGGAGTCAGATAAGTAGTAGAGCCACATAGCAGAGGAGTCAGATGGAAGCAATAGTATTATTTTTTTACCATGGTAAATAAAATATGGTTAAAAGAATATTCTTGTCAAAGAAAAGTGGATGATAAGAATTTTCTACCAATACTAAGAAGCTGATCTCATAACTGTGACTCTACAGGCCAGGTGGGGATGATTGTGTCTTACAATCAGGCTGAGTTAAAACTCAATCCATGCAACTAAATCATCATGTGTCGATTCTTAAAACAAAATTGCATAAAAATTCTGGATTCAAAAACAAATTAAATCAGTGATAAATAGTTTTAAGGATGATTTTTTTTATATTTTGAACATGGTGTAAACATTCGTTTTTGTGGGGCGGGTGGTGGTAGAATTTTTTGCTAGAATGATTACTGGCACTACTGCCTTCATTTTTTATTTTCTTGCAATGTTAAACTAAAAAAAATTGATGCAGGCAGGTGAAAACATTGTATGCAATATCAATTCATAGAGCAGATGTTCAACAATAGATAAGATACAGCAAATCAGACCGTTTCTTTGTTCATCAGTTTGAATATCTCAAAGAATATGGTTATCCTCGAGAAATAACATATATCTCTACAAGCGCAGTGCATCAACTACACCAATTAGATAATTCTGTGAAATTATATATTTATAAATATCCCACACCATTGTTCTTCCTCCAAAAGTAACATGTTTTCTATTTGTATTATTTGAATGCACATTTAAAAACAGGAATACAGATATATTATTTGGAGTAATTTGATTTAAAATAAACTTCAAGTCAATGCATTTTGTTAAATTTCGTTAATTGGCTGCATCTTACAGGTATTTATTTTTTTCAAAATAATGAATTAATTGCCAGCAAATAATTAAGAAAGCACATTTTAGCTATCAAAACTAAAAAAATGCAGTTTGGTTTCTGTTAAAGTTGTTCAAGTAGAAAGTAAGAGATTTTTATTATTGTTACAGATGAATTAATGTGCACTAACAATAAATATTCAGGCTTCTAATAAAAAATTAAAAATAAGCAGAACGGGTAGTCATCAACACAAATTATCTGGCCAAGTTTTTTTTTTTGTGTTTTAAAAATAACATGACAATGTTGATATACATGATAATATATACATAAATGTATCACAAAAGCTTCGATGGGGAAACAGTTATCTCAGAGGCATGCAGTATGGAATGTTCTGATAAAGGGCTGGACACAAGACATTGAATTAAGAATCTTGCATAATGATCTGAAAGTTTCCCCACTTTCAGGGTAAGGCTTCTGTTAATGTCTCTTACATTAGTAAAGAATTACACATGCCAACTTGAAGCTTAGTTATTTTTTCAGATCTGACACTATTTTGTTGTTGGTGTCATTGGCTTTTTAAAATAATTTTATTGATAATGTTTACCATAAATTATCAATATTAAGCTTTTTTTTTTTTTTTTAAGACATCAGTTTGAAAAGAAATATAAAACGTATGTCCTTACACATTAAAATTATATGTGCCGGTAGTTCATCTCCCCAGTACAACTCTTAAGATTATGTACAATTTTCTTCATCAACCGGTTGTACGCAAATTCCTTGAAAGTAGAAAAATTTATTCAGGTGACTGACTTCCTACCAAATCATCAAGATGGAAATGACACAGATGGGTAGCTGGTTCCCCTGGGAGCTGATAAACTGCGTCTAGCCTGGGGCCGTGCCACGGTGTCCGTGTCGGCCCCACCACAACACTTTCGCCTGCCGGGGTTGTTTCGGAGGTTGACGGTGCTACCCGCGCCCTGTCCTGTGCTGCCAATCATGTCCTCAGGGGGTAAGAGACGGGCTGGAGAAAAGAATATTATTTTAAAAACATGTATAAATGCATTAATAATTTTTAATTCCTTAAGTTTATTTCCTGCCTTTTTCCCTCACACCTTTTGCTCAGCTACGTGGCATTGTTTGAATTTTTTCTAACCAAACCTGGGGGACATCGGGTCGACAGAAAACGCTGTGTTTAAAGCGTTCGCAGCCGACTTTGCCGTGGGTGGGTTTGCTTCGCCTCCGGAGGAATGGCGTTGCGTTGCCACCCCCCACAGAGCCTTTCGGTTGGGACGATAAGCTGGGACGAAACAGTTGCCTAGGAGTAGCTTTCTCACGGCCATGTAGCTAAAATCATCAGCAAGGGTTTTAACTGCCACCCAAGCCTCATAACCATTAACGGCAACAAGTAATCATGTTACGACGTTACTACTCCCGTTGCGTTGGGAATCTGTGGTCGGCCGAGGTTTTTTTAGCTTCGGGAGAACAGGACCTCCCTACTAGTCCACCACGCCACGAAGAGGCAAAACACATGTGGACGCCCCCAAGTTTCCTCGGAGATGCTCCGCTTGCGCAGATGGACCAATAACATCAAACAGCTCAGTTATATTTACAGCTGTCACCAATAGGTATCCCATAGCTCAGCTATATTTAATAGCCGTGACTTACCAATAGCATCAAACAGCTCAGCTATATTTACAGCTGTCATTGCACTGGTCTCACAGAAAATGGCACCAATGTCCCGAGCATATTCTTGAGCATCTGTGATAAGAGATGAAATTTACCAACTCCATTACCAAATGAATTAATTTAATCAGGGTAGAGATGAGCATGGTAAGTAGATAAAAGATTAAAAACATCAAGATCCTCTATTGTTAGGAAGATTACACAATACAAACTGTGATCTCATGATTTGTAGAGGCAGTATTGACAAAATGAAAATATATTTAAAAAAACCAACAAACTTTTCTAGCTGCTGGTGAAATCTTTCATGTGTTAATTTAAAAAGAACAATGACATTGCTGCTGCACTCAGAATGAAATCCTTTTGTCCAGAAGACATCAAAGAAACAAATTCATGTTAAGATTCAGAGATTTAGAAAAAAAAAATTTAACAAATTATTTTATGGCAGTTTTTCATTTAAATCCCACAGTAATTTTTTTTTTGACCCGCAGCTTGCAATTACTTTTAATGGCCATCCATAAACGATGTCTCCACAGGGAAAAAGAAAGAGAGGAAGGCTTAAGAATACATGGAGATGCGAGCTAGAGGCAGATACACAAAGTATTGGATACACCTGGAAAGGAAATCACAGGATTGTGATGAATGGAAAATTCCTGTAGACGGCTTATGCCTCAGATCGGGTAAAAGGCATAAGTAAGTATAAAGTATATCATGTGTCAGGGATTGGGGGAAGGGGGGGGGGCATGAATTTGTGATGATGTGTGATAAAAGGGTCTAATTTGTGTTACAATTTTTTTTTGACTTTGGTGGGGGGGGGGGGGGGGGGGTCGGGGGCAGGAGAACATGCCTAAGTAGTGTGCTGTCATGGCCTCTGATACGAGACATAATTACAGACAATGCCTGTAAATGAGATGTTTGCTTCTATTTGTTGGCGTGTAAGTAAGACAGTTCCATGTGTTACCTTTTTCTCTAACTTCCCTCAAGTCCTCCAGGTCACACTTATTCCCTGCAATGGCTATGACAATCTTTGAAGGCCCATGTCTCTGGAGTTCATGCACCCAGCCTTTCACTGCATGGAAAGATGTCTGCGGATTAAATTTTCTTTTAATTTATCATTCAAAACATCACCTGGACCTTACAACATTTTTTTTTCTTCTAACAAATAAAACTAAGTTTATTTATTACTAACTTGCTTTTAAACAAAGAGTAATACATATTAATACATATAACCTGCTCTATTTATTCTTCACAGTTTTTTAATGCCTCAATAGTTGAACAGCTCTTCTGTATTTGAATTATCCTGGTCATAAACAGTATTTGAAAACTTTGTAAAATCTGACAGTAAATCAAGACTAAAACAAAACTAGATATAAAAAAAAATATTTTGATGTCAAACACTCACATACAGATTGATTTATTGTATTGGTCTGATATAATTAAATAGCTTATAATGTGAGAGCTCAACAGCATCTCTTGGAGAACTTGCCAGAGTAATTTAAAATATTGTTAAAAATCTAGCAGAAAATTTGCTAGAGATTTAAATTTTTTTTTTTTAAACATTTTTGAAAACATAAATTATTATTTCATTGCTTAAGACCTTCAAAGTTTTAGAAAGAAATAAAAATTGAAAGAAAGAGATTCTTACAAACCTCTCTTGTTACATCGTAAACTATAATGGCTGCAGCAGACCCTCTGTAGTACATTGGCGCTAGAGCGCGGTACTGCAAGAAAAGTTTAAAATGCTAAATTCAATTAAGTCCAACGATTTGTGGTAAGGAAAAAGGGAAAATCAAATAATTTATAACAGCCACAGAAAAAGAGGAGGTGAAATTCAAGGAGATGAAAATCAAAGTTATCTTATTTCATATAATCATATTTTATCTTGCTGGCTGCCGTCCATGGTTTGCCTTGTAAACGTTATGTGGTGGGGTGGGTGAATATACATTGCTGTTCTTTATTTCATAAATGTATTTTATTTTAATGTCATGATTATGTCTCTTTTGATAAAGATTTTTATGTACAACGCGGTGAGCCCAGCCCTAGGCTGGGGTACCGTGCTATATAAGACGTCTTATTATTATTATTATTATTTTAATCAAAGATTCCCTGATTTTAGCATAATGGGCTGTCCATTAAAGATATCATGCATCTAGGGCAAGAGGGGTCACATATTTATGATATGTGATGAGAATGAGGGTGTCTAATTTTAGTAACAAATTTGTGATGATTTTAGGGTGGGGGTGGTGTTGAAAATACTAATTTTGAATAAATGTTATTAATGGATTCATTAGTTGATTCAACAGAAATAACAGAAAACTTTGATGAACTATTGGGTCAATTCAAACTCAAAATCTTTATTACCATATACTTATGAAACTGATGGTAAACAAACATTTGGAAATTGTGTTCCTGCCTGTCATCTTACCATTACTATTTATGTATTTTATAAGTAGTTAACTTACCTTTTCTTGTCCAGCCGTGTCCCATATCTGAAATTTGTAAGTACTATCATCTAAAAATATTGTTTTAGTCATAAATGAAGCTCTGTAGAACAAAAAATATATATTTTTAGGTAAGGTAGCAAAAGAAGGAATGTCTTTCTCATTAGCTATGTTGCAGACCCCACCCCTTTCACATTCCTCTTTGTTGAAAAGAGCAAAATATGCATTTACAAAGCCTAGAAGTGGCCAAGCTAATAAACAAGATATTGCTCACAACATAAATCTTTAGCTGAGCATATAATAAATATTATTATTATTATTAGTGGTGGTGGGCTCACCACGCTGTACATACAATTTAGCAAACATAATCTTGAACTAAAAAAATTAACATACATTAATTAAATAAAACAAAACAAATGTATATTCACTTCACACATTCAAGAACTATTGACATGTTAATATAGCAAGGGGAGGAATTCGAGAAAAAGTTGTGGCAGAGAACAGAGAATTTGTAGTCAATCCTTGCTTGTAAAGGGAGCCCATGAAGTGAATGAAGTAGTGGTGTGACATGATCACGTTTTTTTTTTGCCTTTAGATTTAGCCTAGCAGCTGAGTATTGAACCTTTTGTAATTTTTCTATGAAGTGCTTTGGTGAACCTGATAGAAAAGAAATAAAATATTCAAGACGAGAGAGAACTAGAGCACAGACTAGGGTTTTTGTTGCGCTAACTGTGAGGTAGTGGCGGATTGAGCTGATCTGACGAATAGCTGTGTATGCAGAGTGACAAATTGAGGACTGTGTTCAAGCGGTGTGAAAATAATAAATTGTGGAAAAAGATTTATTTAGGCTAGAAAAAGACAGGACAATTAAACAGACTTTTCAACTTAATGCCTTTTTCAGCAGACAATACACAACAAGAAATAACAAATGATTTGAAATTAGAGAACATATCTTGTTCCACCAGTAATTTGTTTAAGCATTGCCATGAAATCTTATAATTACTGCACATGCACATTCTGCTCTTAATCACACCTTTAGATGTTGCATGAGAGTTTCCTTTTAAGTTAATTATCCATCAACAATTTTAAATGACTTCAGATATACAAATGTCGCATACTAAATTTAGATGTATTTATACCCCTAAAAGCAAATATGTAACTTGTGAATAATTCATTTAATTCAGAGTTTTCACGAGACATCTTTAAAAACAAAATACAAAATCCAATGGCTAATGAGTAATTACCCTATTGTGCTCTCCAGGGCATTCTTGAATTTGTCAGCAACAAATCTCATTACAATACTTGATTTTCCAACACCAGATTCCTGATGCAATAATAATAATTTTTTTAAAAAACCTATAGAAATTATTTTTACAATTTTTAATTGAGTTGAGGATTAAAGAATCAAAGCTTTTAGTCAAATGTTTCAAGCAGTGCATGTAGATAAATATTTCTAGCAGAGCTTAAAGTCAAATGTTTCAAGCAGGTTTGTGGGGTCTGACATTTTTAAATGGGTTGGGTTCACAACTCATTTCTCCAGTTTTTTTTGTTTTTTTTTTGTTTGTTGCTCCAGTAAAGTAAACCACAAGAATAAGGGTTAGAGAGATATTCAGAAAAAAGGAAAGACATGTACAAAAACACTCTTTTCCAACTTTGATAAATGGCTTAAAGTATGGAGGATAGGACACACACTTGGATGGTGTACCACTGACACTGTTTTTATATTCATATGGACATGGAGACATGTAAAAAAAAAAAAAAATTTCGACTCGATTTCTTGCATTTTATTTTTCCTTCAGATTAAAATAGATAAACTTGAGTAATTTTAAAATGTTTTTTCACTATGGACATCTCACTTTTAATTTAATTAAGTCTTAACTAAATTACTCTCAGTCAGAGTAGTATCTTAATGGTAATGATTAATAACTGAGTCAAGTTGATAGTAGTTAGTTAGGCCTACTCCTCTAAACGCTTGTCCCCAATTCCAATCACTAGAAAACGCATCGAATGAGCAGTTACTTTGGCAGTTCAATGTTTTACCAAGTTGATGGTCAAATGTGATAATTGTGACTCAACAACTTCAAGCACCGGTACTATCAGAAATTGTGTTCTTTGTTGCTAAAGAGCTATTGGAAAGTACACAAGTAGCTTGGAAACCGGCCATGGTATTCCACCTTGTTGAACTTGAAACCAATTTGGACACCCAATTCGGTAAACGTTTATGTAGTTTTCAATGGTGTCCTTACATTTAATGCTGTCAAAAAGCATAACATGCTTGCATTTCACTTTGTAAACCGAATAGAATATCAATTTGATCATGTTCTGTGTGCTAATCCCAGTTTGCAAAAAAATGACCCTGTGCGTATACTGCATGTCGTATTGAGCGGATGGCATTTCCATGGGTAACCATCAGGTTGACTCTTCTTGTCGGACTAAAGATATGGGACGTTGACATGTATGATAATGAGACAGTGTTCAGAAAGCCACTCTAACCAAAACATGCTGTCATACAGTGCCTTCGGGGCTATGTCATAAGTTTACGGAATGTTTCCTGGCAAAATATTATTTGCAAACTGAACCAGTGCTTGTAGTCTACTGGCCATGCCATGGCATTGTTTATTTTATATATTACAACAAGCAATTATTAGTCTGCAAGACGCCATTCATTCGGAATTGTACATGTAAACAATAACATCATCAATTATCCGGCCACCTTGCACTCTCTAACAAAAAGAATACTCTTTGGCATTTGGGACATGCTTCAGAGCATAGCATTGCCTTAGACGTAACTTTAAGACTTGGAGTGAAGTGAAGAGTGGCAGAAGCAATTTATAGATTTAATCTTTTAAAATAATATTTTAGTTTTACCCTGTAATCAAAAGGCAAAGGTCTTAAGGTTTAATATCTTGTTTTAATAACTGTAAGTATAACTGAATTAAGTTGAATTAATTGACGATGTGTGTGTATGTACTGTAACTCAACGGAGTTTCACTTTCACTTTTCTTAAACAGTGTTTCTTACCCCTAAGAGACAAATTTTTACGTCTCTCATTGACATATTAGCGTTTAAGAGTGTTCATCCACTACAATTGTTTGCTTGAAACGAAACTGGGGCAAGAAGAACAAATTATAAATAAAATCGGTTCTACGCCAAGGTGAATCACTACGACGTAGGACGGTAAGGGGGTAATAACAGGAAGATAGCTAAGCTAAAACGCCATTTTGACTCTTGTTATGATCACATGACAGAGTTTAAGTGGGAAACAGAGGTTCTCAAATTAAACGTCAACACCTAATTTAACAGTTAAATATCAGCTGGCGATTCTGCTGGATATCCCCTCTGACTTTTAGATTTGTATATATTTATTTTTACAATTAAAAAAATCATTATCAAACTAACAGACATTCGTTAAAAATTAATGGTGATTTAATCTATAGATTCATTAAAACTTTTGAGCGAATAATTAATATTCATATTTTGAGGAGTTACTGTTTGAGGGACATGGAGCCGTATTTTTTAAAAAAATAATGTAGGCCTAAGGCCTCTAGACTACTTAATAATAAATAAACCACTGAAACGATTTTGTGCCCTCTAATTATATTAAACAAAATTTTCAAAATAACAAGAAATATAAACGTGAAAATTAATTTCATTGTTCTAAAAAAGCTTACAGAAACAGCTAAGACAGAATAGTATGTTGATCTATAATTAGTATTTCACTACCGGTAGTTTGTCTGTCACTGCATTTTTGTTGTTGAAGCAGTGGCGAAGCAAGGGTTAGCGCCACCTGGGGCGGACCAAGCTTTTGCCCCCCCCCCCTTTTTAAAAAAAAAACTATTTCGCAGTTGGCAGAGAATGCCACCCTCCATACAAGGAAAAAAGTACAGAAACAGCTAAGACAGAATAGTATGTTGATCTATAATTAGTATTTCGCTACCGGTAGTTTGTCTGTCACTGCATTTTTGTTGTTGAAGCAGTGGCGAAGCAAGGGTTAGCGCCACCTGGGGCGGACCAAGCTTTTGCCCCCCCCCCCTTTTTAAAAAAAAACTATTTCGCAGTTGGCAGAGAATGCCACCCTCCATACAAGGAAAAAAGTGCCCACCCCCTTCCTACTCCACTGTGACGAAAGCTTCTCAGCAGAAACTTCCACTTTTTTTTTATCTTCAAGTTTTTCTTTTCCCTGTCTATATTTCTTATTGCTTCAAGTTAAATCTCTTATAAGCATTAATTAGTATTTCACTACCGGTAGCCCTACCCTGACCATACTTATTATGTGGCACAACGTTAAAATTGAGTATCAAAATCTCTCCAACTATATGGGTACGATACATAAGCGCCCGCAGGTAGGGGCAAGGTGGGGCACTTACATCCCCCCCACCCCCCTTTCTGGATTGATTGGATAAATTTTTTTTAGACAAAAATAGACAAAAAATGTATTAAAGTAAAGAGAAAATAAAGAGAAAGTAACTAAGCTGAAGTCCCGTCCGTTTGTTCACCATACAAATACGCTACAGTAAATTAAAACTATATTAAAACATTACTAAAAATTGTGTGCACCCCCCCCCCCCTGGAAAGTAAATCGATTTTTTTTTTTTTGAGTTTTCCTTCTGCCACACTTCTACACTCATTTTCCTTCTGCCACACTTCTATAACTCATTTTCCTTCTGCCACACTTCTACACTCATTTTCCTTCTGTCACACTTCTATACTCATTTTCCTTCTGCCACACTTCTATTGCTGCCCACAGATACTACTTACCAGCTAAGTGCTATTTCTTATTTTTGTTTTTATACCATTTTTTCCTGTTGTTTTGTTCGCTGACGAAGGCTTTCTGCCGACACGTTCGTTGTTTTGTTGCGTTTATTTTTTCAGGTTTAACCCTACTCTGTTTTACTCATTTTATTTTGTACTAACCTGATTGCAGTCTCTCCCCTTATTACCCCAGTCGTATTTGTGCCAGGAAAGCTTTCTCGCATATAAAACACACTTTGTTTTAGGGCCTAGTTGGATTTGAGTCGATTGTGTTTCTCCTTGCCGTGCGCTTTGTTTGGGCAAGAGCGATGCTCTTATTCCCTGAGGATAGCGCTCCAACAATAAATCTGCCAAGCTAGGTTTTTACTATCCATGGCAACCCCCCCCCCCCGCCCAATAATCAAGGTCAATATCCATGGATTTAAGTGAAGCTTTCAGTCAGTCCTTGAAGCTGTTGTTTTTTGTTTTTTGTTTTTTGCCTACCAGCTGAGCGTTTCTCCTTGGAGAGTTCAATGGGAAGTCTGCTGTCTGGCACTGGTATATTTACAACATGCCTTGCCCATCTAGCGTCCTTTTTGTAGGAGTGTGTGGATGCTGATACAATCGGCCCGTTGTAGGACCTCTGTATCGGGGATTTGTCCAGCCAAGAAAATTACGTAGACAGCATAGGTGAAGATGGTTTAGATGTCTAGCGTGTCTGCTTTCCACGGTTCGCTGGCGTAGAAGAGAGATGTTTTTACCATTGCCCTATAGACTTTCAGTTTGGTGACAAAAATGAGACCCCTTCGCCCCCACTCTAGGGGACGAAGAAATGCACCATTTGCTGTGGAATTTTGGTTTTGATCTCATCATCTATTGCTGTTGATCTTTAGAGGGTACTGCCAAGTATGTGAATTTTTTCACTTGTTGGGGATTATTTTCATTCATTAATATTTTAGGTTCTTTGTATGCCTGTCCTGGAGCCGGTTGGTACAAGATAAGTTTTTTTCCCCCTCGTATTTATAGCGGGGCCATAGTTGTCGCAAGCTTTAGCAAAAAGGTCAAGTATTTTCTGCGTTTCCAGTTCCGAGCTTGCATTTAAGGCACAGGCACAGTCATCAGCAAACAAAGAGGTCTCGAATCCAAATGGGCTATAAACAGGCAGAGCAGGATGCTATCAAAGTGTATTGCAAGAGTAACATAGTGCCAATTGAGCAGGATTCCGCTAGAGCAGGGCTCCACCAGACCAGAGTTAGAAATCTCAATTCTTTCATTAAAAGGTTAAAGTTATTCATTATTCACTGTGATGTGTGTGTCCTTTGCTTCATGTGAGAGGAACTTTTCAAGAATGACATTTAAAATTATTATAAAGAACTATTCGCGTTTTATCATAGATGAGTCCAAGCTTTCTTGTCTTGTGATTTAGTAAATTGAAGGTGATAAGCTCAAGGATGTTAATTTTCATTGAATTTCTATGGCATGTTTCAAGACCAGGAAAGTAAAGTTTTAACTGAAAAGTTTAAAGTTTTCATTAGTTTTTTTTTGTTGCATTTTTTAGATTGTGAATACCTCAAATTACATCTTTTCTTCTTATGTTGCTTCAGGACTTTCCTAATTTACAAACAGTACTATACGCGGTTATGTAATATCTAGTTAAGAATTACTCGTGCAAGTCAGGGCAAGTGTGTCTGACACCACACGTTTACCGCATTGGGGGGGGGGGGCACAACCCTAGTGACGCTTCTAGGAGCTAGGTCTGAATAACGATTGATAGTCTTTTTTTTTATATCGTTATTCAAATATTCACATTTGTATCTATTCAATTCAATTGTTTTCCCTTATAATTAGCCTACTAAATGAAAGTATTTGAAAGTAGAGCCACTGTAATCGGTAATTAATTAATTAATTTTTGGCCAACCAATAAGCTAATCGTTAATGAAATGCCATTTCTCTGTAATCTCTGTAACCTAAACAAATGTTGGCTCAAAAAAGTCGAGCCACGACAATCAAAATCAATTCCAGTCAAATTAAATGAAGCGCGTTAAAATATTAAGAGTCCATAGCCCTTAATGTAAAGGTGGGTGAATATAAAAATAAACTTTAAGTTTTAAATTTATGACTATCAGAAGTTACCCTGACATTAATGTAAAGGTGGGTGAATTTAAAAATAAATTTTAAGTTTTAAATTTATGGCTATCAGAACTGACCCAGTTTGTTTAAAAATGGAACAAAAATAGGCTACCTCAGAAGTTGAATTTTTGACTGGCAAAATTCTGTGATAACAGCTAAATCTATTTTCACCTCATTATGTCAGTCTGTAAATAGAGTTATTCTTTGCCCAAGGAGCAATGGCACCACGTCTTTACAGCACTGACATAAACATCTGATCAAATATAACGATCATCCCGGCCATTTTATTGATAAGTAACCCAAATATTATTTACATTACTGGTTTGACTGTTTGGCCCATGCAGACATGACAGCGTTCTATGTTAAATCAAAATCATAGATTTTTCTTTTTCAAAATAGGATACTCTATGATGTGAGCAAAGGACATGTGCACCATTAAAGAAACTTTTTTGAATTATTTTTAAATTTTTTTTGTAGTTAACTTTGTTATTTTTAAAATATTATTTTTGGAGGTTTCAAGTTAAAAATTCTGTTCATATTTTTTGAAAGTTTGAATCTAAATAGATAGTAACTTCCAAACTGTCAAACTCCAGAATATGGCTGTTACAAGAAAGTTGTCAAAGATTATATATTAAAATATTAAACAAATACTTAAGGTACAAACAGTAAAAAAATAAAAAAATTAACAAATGTCAAATCTTTGATTTAATTCTTATCCCACTTTTTTTTTGTTTTTTGCACAGATACTTCCAAATAGGAAGAAAATAATATTGTTCATGAAGATTAAAACAGAATTAAAAAAAAACCCCATGAATTGCCTCCATCAGAATCCTTTGTATAATAAACTAATTGTATAGTAGCAATTAATGAAAAAGTGAAAACACGCCTACGAGTTTGGTAAAACTCAATCAGGAAGCATTTTAATAAGATGCTACGCTGTTAAAATAATCTCCTTTACTGTAACAACAAAAATTAAACAATCAAAAATCATTTGTGGAGCTGTTTCTTAACTAAAACAGATAACTAATAGTTAAATAAACATTTTTTTAAAATGTTGAATACTAACCTAAGTCATCAAGGGGAGTTAAACAATTTCTCTCTACCAAAATGAGCATCAATTTAGGATGAAAGGGTTGCCTGGTAATATATTCAGTTTGTCTAATATGTCTAATAATGAGAACTAATAAGTCCCCGATTTGGTTAAGAGAACTCACTGATCGGCTGTTTGAAATAATTTATTATAAATGTCTTGTGTTCAAATTGTTTTATTTATGTGCTGAAAATGTATAATGCAATCAAAAAACATTTCCATTTATTTGGATCAATAAAAGAATCTTATCTTAATCATGTACTTGAAACAATGATTTGATTTTGAAAACATCTTTGGCTGTTAGCTTTATTTTGATATGCTGACTTTAAAAAAAAAAAAAGTATTTTCTTTGAGCTGACTGCAATGACATTTATTGTTGGTGTGCCATGCGCTGGGGGTGTCATGCAGGCTTTATGTTGGACAATCCTGATACAGACCAGCAAATGATTGTGCACATTCATTCAGCAAGTTAAACTAGAGAGAAAAGAAGGAAGTGTTGGAATATGAATTGGTAATTATGAAAGAACACAGTCAGTGAAAAACAATAAGACATAATTTTAAAAACGAGAAACATTTGATTTTTATGGGGAAAAATGAGAAAAAACGCTTTCAGGCATTTAATATTTGCCCTTGTCTTTTTTACTAGAACTTTTTACTACAGCCTCTCTTTTCTTTTCACATGTAATTTAACAGCCAAAAAGATTTCTACCTGTTAGTAAGAGCACAATCAGAACTATAACAAGTGTGACAAGCAAAATTTTTTTCTTGGAAAACTCAAGATTCACATATTATTATATAATGTACATAAATAAATAAATCACTTTTAAAATATTACATTCACTTAAATATTTCTAACTTACACATGATAGCAGGGCTGCCAATCGATTTTTTTAAAATTCCCAAGATTTGGTCAAAATATTTCCCAAGATCATGATTAATATATGAGGTTTTTTTTAAAAAGGGGAAATTATCTTGGGAATTTTATTAAAAAAAGTGAGTTTTTATCCTGGATGGGGTAGTGAATTTCCAAGATCTTGGAAAATTTCCCAAGGTGTGGCAGCCCTGCATTATAGTGCACACACACACAGAGATCCCAAACTTATGTTTCCATTTATAGTTTTTTTTAAGTGCCTTAATTTATGACATGAAAATTTAATTTAGACTCATGGCAGCAAGAGTTGCATGATATTATGTGTCAGAGAGCAATGTTTTGAATGCATATTAAACAAATGGCTTGAGGACCATTTTATAAATAATATTTGTTGATGGTGTTCATAAAATAGTGGCCACGTAAAAAGGATTAGCAGGCGCCATGGTTATAATGGACAAAAAGGAATGGGGGACCTGTATAGAGTATAAAAAATATGAATTACATAAATCATATTAAGACATGTCCTTTTGTATTTTTTTTTATTCGGTTTCTTCTACATCTATTTATAAATACCGAAAACCTTAAACCTACTTGAACAATTCAATATGAATATATTGAAGAAAAAATATTTAAAATAGCATTATGTCCTATAAGGAGAGAATTTTTAATGGTAAACTTTCTTAAAGTGTTTAAATATAAAATACTTTTTATATCTTTATTTTAAATCTTTCAGGAAGAAAAAATATATTAGAATGCTTTATACTCATGGGTTTCTAGGAAAATAAATTACTACAGAGTATCACAAGTCAGAAATTGGAAGCAAAAAAAAATAATTGAAAAAAAACTGTTTGGTAACCAGACCAATGACAACATAATATAGAGTCATGCACTATTGATAAGACGTTATATGTGGAGATAATGATTGATTTTTTCCAAAATACTTCAAGGCAGACTACATCCAACTAATATCAAACATGATTTATTGATAAGATTTTTGCAAACTGTCCTCTGCCCTTGTTGACACTGTAAATGGTAGAATACACCGTCATCCCTCAAACCAGCGGTTCCCAACCATTTTTTGCTCCCGTACCCATTCATAAGACTTCTCCCTTATCCCTACTCATCCCCAAAAAAGTAATGAAATAGATTGGCTAAATAATCAAATGAAGCAGATAAAGCTCATGACATTTCTAGGCTTAGATTCTTTTATTACAAGTTACTTTATTTTCAACAAAATAACCTAGCTGAAGCAAATATCAAAATAAACATTGAAATATTATTATATATTTGGCCATAAAATGGGGAAAGAATCAATATAAATATCAACATCGGTCATTTGTGTTATAAAAATATCTTAGTGGATAAAACTAGTTGATAAAATACCGCTAAACATTTAAATATAGCTTCTTCTCACAAATGAATTGGTGTAGTAAAAAACACACTTTTTCCCCCATTTTTTAAATTATCTATATAGTTTTTGCATGCCCCCAGGGGTATGTGTACCACATGTTGAGAACCACTGCCCAACATTCAGGGACCTTATGCTGGTAGGACAGTTTTTTTTACTCCCCCCACCCACCAACAAAAAAAAAAAAAAAAAAACCAAGCAGGTTTATTTTAATTGCAGCCAAGTATTGGTTTGCCCCCTCCTGAAAAAACCTGAAATGTAGTTCCTGTCTACATATAGGCATCCTATATTGATAAGGATTATGTGGAAATGCAGAAGAAAATATCATTGAATGTGTTCTTTAAGAAGTAAACAGAAATGGGGAGTGGCTCAACAGATGGATATAAAAACAAAAATGTCATAGAAAATTAAGATAATTGTTGACATGATTGCATTAAAAGAAAACAAAAAAAGAACTCAAAAGTTTTCATTGCTGGTAAAAAAAAAAACTAGACTATGTTAAAAATCAAAATTTGAAATAATTTTTCATTTTTTTTATTTGATGGCCAAAGTTTTAAATATTTTGATTTCGGAATGAAAATAATATATCTTTTTATATGGTGTTTTAAAAAAAAATGCACGTTAGTAATTTATTGAACTTTTTTTTTTCTTTTTTTTTTTTACAATATTTTTTTTTTTTTATTATCCATTTAGCAAGAGACAACAAAATTTAATTTCAAATGAATGGCAAACTTGACCTTTTATAACTAAAGAGCACAAACTTATTAGAATAGTATTTAGTGCATATACTGAAAAGCCCTACATAGTGTTTTCTTGGTTGGCTCAGCTCATTTGAAAGTGGGCAAGGGGACAGTGTCATTCAAAATGTTTGTGATGTTTTAGGAGGGTGGGGGGGGGGGGGNTATTTAATCTTGGATCAAGTCAATATATTATATCCCATTTAAATTCATTGAATAGCTTTAGATACAATTAAATTTTAAATATGCACCACATATAACATGAACTGAACCTTATTTTTTTTACATTGGGTAATGTGCAGAAAACACACCACAACACATATGATTAGAGTTTATTGCACCTCTGTGTAAGTGACACCATGAACATACACATATATATATATATATATATATATATATATATATATATATACCCATTAAATTTACAATTGCATTATAATACTTAGAATAATTTATTAAGTTGTGTTTAAATAAGGAACAATAAACAACAAGATATCAGGGTACATTTTTAAAACACACACAATAAGATAATTGACAGGTTTTCAGAGACATTAATAACATACCTGGAAATGTATGAATAATTTACACAGTCAGGAAATAAAACAAACATCTTAATGACAGATTAAATGTCACCAACTTTATCAGGAATCTAAATGTTTTAAGATATTAAAAATACAAACCGGGGTGTGGAAGGGGTGTGTGTCAAACAATGTCAAGCGTAATATTCCAGCCCTTTGTGAAGGACATACAAACAGTCATTTATAATTTTCACGACTTGTTTAACTTGCCAATGTCACCATTTTTTAAAGTACATGTTGGAATGTAGAAAGATTTTAACAATTTACATCCAAGGAATGCTAAATGGATTTATATTAGACTAAGATTTTTTACTTAAAGAAAATACATATGTTTAAAGGCTACAAGTTAATTATATGGTAAACCCAGAGAAATGTTCAATAATCACATTTAGAACAAGCACACTTAAAAAAAAACAACATATTTTATCTTTTGTGTGGTTTAAAATTTAATATCTGCTCCAAAAATAAAGATAAAAACCTATTAATGCAATATTTGAGGCTCCTTAATTTACAAATTTATACCAACATATCAAGTTAAACTATTAATTTACTATAGATACTTCAAAACCTCAAACATAAATTATTTTTTTTTTCTTACTGATTCTCCTAGTTTGAAATGCGTTTTTTTTAAACCCCCCCCCCCCCACCATCACCAATTTAAATTAAACACTCATGTTCAGTTTAAAGTTAAAACATTTGCTGATAATAATTATGCAATATGATCAGAATTTAAAAATTTAAGCTGCTGAGCCTCAAAGTCTGTTTGGTTCATTTTATATATATATTTTTATACTGATCATTAGATTTCAAATTTAATATTTCATACTGCACTAACAATGACAACTTAAAATCCATCATTTAAAATAACAGCGAATGGAAACAAAATTGTTTCATATACAATTCCTGCTATATATCTTACTTTTCACAGCCAAGCAGGGGCATAAAACTCTCTTACATAAACACAATAAATACCTAATTTCAAAACATCATTAAATTATAGCAGTAAAATAGTTTTAATACTATAACACCCCATTTAAATAGTTTTAATGTTTTTTCATTTAGGATAAAAAAACAAAACAATTTCTGTTGTAGAGTCTCTTTAAGATATCACTCAATTTTTTAAAGAAACCTTCTGAAAAGAGAATCAACCCCTTAGTGATCAATGAAACCAAAAAAATCCACAACAAAGCACAATCAAGGTCATTTACATCAGCATAAAGAGTTTTGCTTCCAGTTCAAGTAAAACTAAAGAGCTAAATATCTGATGCTTTATAACCTGATGGGACTAAATGCTTGCATGTGGGTCAGGCCGAAAAGGGGCCTCAATTGAAAATAAATGTGGCAACTTTACATCAACTTTGTTCAAGGCTGAGATATTAGCTTGGTGGAGGTTTACCTTCGTCAAAAAAATAAATAGATACTTTTTAATTACAACTAAATACTGAGTGGGGTCTTGTGCTAGCTTTTCACAGCAATAAAAATGACCAGCAGGATGACTATCACAGCTGCCAGGATTAGAATGATCATCATTTTTCTGTTCTTCTTCTGATATTTTTCTGCTTTCTGTAACTGAACCAGTCCTTTCTCTGTTTGGGTGGCTGCATTATCAATGTTGTAGTCAATACGGTCTAAGATTGTGCCCTGGTGGGAGAAAAATTGAGTGGTTATGAACTATTCTAAGTATATGCAATAATTTATAGTGGCAAAATAAATACAGTGATAAGAAATCCATGCAATGAAAATTCAAATTTAAAAAAAAAAAAAATATGTTTTAAAAAAATAAAATTTATTATCCTATTGATTTCATAGATCAAACTGCCTTTTCTATACAAGAAGATAGTTGTGTTCAAACAATAAATTTTTTTTTTTTTTTACCCAAATTTTACATCAAATAAAAAAAAAAAAAAAAAAAAAAAAAAAAAAAAGAAAATTCAAATTTAAAAAAAAAAAAAATATGTTTTAAAAAAATAAAATTTATTATCCTATTGATTTCATAGATCAAACTGCCTTTTCTATACAAGAAGATAGTTGTGTTCAAACAATAGATTTTTTTTTTTTTTGCCCAAGGTTTGCCTCATGTCAAAAAAAAAAAAAAAAAAAAAAAAAAAAAAGAAAAAACAAGAATCAGTTTTATAATCTACTTATAAAACGCAATATACAAAACAAACTAAATACTTCATGAAAAATATTGACTTACAGTGTGTAAGAGACAATATTCAATTTTCAAAGTAATGTGATACGATAAGCCCATGTTGATCAAAGAGGAACTTTTTATTTCAACATTTGAAAAACCCAACAATTTACACAGTCTCCAAGACTGCCGAGGTAGGCAGCTCACATCAAATATGAATTCCGAGAGATTTAATAAAAGAGTTGGTTATTCAACCCAACAGATGAATTATTTAAATAGAAAATACCTGATCAACAATCATTGATGCCAAATCTTTGAATATCTCATTCAGGTCTGTGATGGACCTAACAATGGAGGCAACCTCTTTTTCTCTTTGATGGACAATTTCTGTATTGTCTTCCACCAGCTGCATTTGTACAGATGTGAAGCCCTGTGTTTAAAGCAACAATCAAAATATAGAATTTAAATAAACAGATTGACAAATGTAGCACTGAGTTCTCTAAAGCTCCCAGGTAACAAATGAGGTAGCAGATGGCACAGGACCCCATCTGGCTGAGAATGGAGATCAAGGATGTATTGAATGGCCACTTATGGTTCAAAAACATTTTGTTGAATATTAACTATTGATACAAGTATATACTTTCCTTTATAAAATGATGTCCCTATAAAAAAAATATTTTAAAAATATATGACATCGAGCAATGGAGAAAATTAAGCCTTCAGCGTATCTCAAATATAATTAATTATCTGTGTACTATATTTTAGCGAATATAAACAAGAAACTCAGGGTGACCTCACCTTATCATACATAACATCTGGTTCTGCACTTAAACCATCTCCAAGTAAACCAGATTCTGAGTTGATACTGGTTCCAAAATACTGTTGCGATCGTTCCTCTCTACTCTTGATTTCTAAGTAAAAAATACCAAGTTGTTATACAAAAAGTTATGATATTAATATTATGTTTATGTTTCAGCTTTTGGGCTTTTTTACTTAAAAAATAAAATGTACTTTCCACCATATTTCCACCATTCAAAACATCGGAAGGAGCCATTCAAAATGTCATCATTTTAATTACTGACAAAAGTAATGACATAAGAACTTGCAGGGCTTACTTCTTAAGTATGCTGATTGACTTTTTCTAAAATTTGTGGACATCTCTTGCATTGTCCTTGCCACTGATGCCACTATATTTTGTGTGAGTTTCTGCTCATGGCCTGATCCTCTGTGACTTTGGTTATTGATTTGTTGGACTAGACGTTGGCAGTGGGAAAACATCTGCAAGTGCAGGTATTAAAACAAATTATAATTTGGGAGAACATTGAGCTGAAGTATGAATACGTTTCAATATTAACTATAACAAATAGTTGTAAAATTAACATCTCACAAAATACATTTTTTTTCAGTTTTTTGTTGTGTAAACATTACAATGTCTCAGAAGTTCAAAAATAATTTTTTTTAAAATAGATTATGTTTTAAAAATTGGCTCCTGGTTTCCAAATGTTGAACAGTTGATGGGGGTTGATAAATTAAAAGATAAAAAAATACACTTTCATAAGCATTTCTTAATAAAAAGCTATAAAAACTATATTTTGTCAGTAGGGGGGAACTATCAAAAATGTTTGGAGAACTCTATTCAGGATCATGATCTTTATCTGGATAAATTTTATTTTTAACTTGGGTGTATTTATTTTTAAAATTGTACAGCAAGAATAAATTTACTGAAAGAAAGTCTTAATTAAAATGTTTTTTTTCTTTTTTTTTTTTTTTTATTCTTGTTTTAATTAAAATTTTTTTTTTTTTTTTTTTTTTTTTTTATACTTGTATGCCTTAAATTTTTTATATATATATATTTTTTTTTGAACTTAGGTCTTGCTATATTTAAAAAATTTTTTGGCTCAGCAAGATCAATTATTTTTTATTGCCATGCTCTACCTGAAAGCAAGTCTTAGTTAAATAAAATGGGTTAAATTTCTCACTTGCGTGATCTGTTGTGTTCTTATCTCAATTTCATGTTCTTCATCAACACTATCATCCATTGTTGGACGATTGAGATGCTTGTCATGTAGTGATGACAACTCTTTCACTGCAATATGAAAGCACACATTTTTAAGATATGCAAGAAGTAAGGTTAGCACCTTTGCCTCTCCTCTAAATCTAAATATTCATTGTAAAGCTTTCTGCCTTGTTGAGTGGGAGCCTGAAGTTCTTTTGTCACGACAATATTAACAAGGCCTCCCACATATTCAATATGGTCTTTAATAATCTGTTTGCTAACTAAAACCTTCTGGGACGTGTTTTTTTTAATGTTATTGCGGTTCACTGAAAATCCATGCTCAACAGTTGCATGCCCAAGTCACAGAAGCAATAAAATATTAATAATTGGCCATAGCTTTGGCCAATGAAGAATTTAAGCAATCAAGTCTTTCTTCAGCTTTACTAAATGTTAATATTTCATTGGGTTGACTTAACACTCAAGGAGTCCTTAAATACAGAAAGAATTTCATCACAATCATTTAAATGTGCTCTTTTAAGAGAAACTAAAATGTTCAGGACATGTCTAAATCTAGACAGGTTTTAGTCCATATCCCTGTCGCAAATTTGTTCTGGGTCCCAGGCAACTCCTGTGTCTCACTAAATTGTTACCTAGGGGAGTCTTTGCTGTAAATTTTCAACCAGCAATCCAAAATTCCTTTGTCACTAATTAATTTCTTTACTTTTGCTTCCCTGAGAAACCCCTCTGCAACAAAACCAATTTCTATTTCTGAATACATTTTTAATACTTATCAGATTTTCTTTCAACTTTTAGTATGGTAGTTTTTCTACTGTATTTGCTTCCTCAAGAGTTTTGGGTTTAATAAAACGAGCCCTCTTAAAAGTTTTTCTAAATGCTTTGCCATGAAAGTGGTTTGTCACTTTGATATATAGTTAAAAACAGCTTGATAGGTCTTGCAAGACTTATTATAAAGGCAAGTCTTGTCCTTGATAGAGGGTTATTGATCCAGTCTCTACTATTTCATAGAACTTGGTCGATGGACTTTAAGTTCCAGTTTTTCTACTTTTGCAACACATTGCAACAAAATGAGTGTGCAGTACTGACAAAATCTAGGATACTCCCCATAGAGCAGAATCAATAGCTGCTTTGAAACTATTGTGTAGTGTATAAAGTCCACAAGATCCTATATCAATTAAGTGATTGTTGAAATTCATACTTATTTTGACCTGTATTTTATTAAATATGGCCCAATTAACATTAGGTCCATCCATCAATAATCAAACAATATGATTCATCCCAATGCTGTTGCTACTTTCTCTTCAAACCAACTCCAACACATCAGAGGCACAAGAGTGACCAATGAAATACGAAGTGTAGTAGCGAGTCTTGACTTTATCATAATCCCACATCCTGATATGAATGTCAAGCTATTTATTTTTAAGATCTTTCTCTAATGACTCATCAAACAGGAGGACACATGGGCAATCCTTGGTAGTTCTTTCCAGCAAGGAAATAAAATATGGGGCAATACCAAAACATGACATGTACATGATTTTAGTTTCCCCTAAACCTAAGCTCATCAATTTTACAATTTCACAATTTGGAAACATCCTTTGAAATAGTGGCACAATGTCCGCTTGAGAACAAAATTAATAATTTGAACTAACACATTTTTAATGCCCATAAAAATTTCAGCATTTAGTGTATCATTTTAGAAAACAAAATTGGACAAGGTTGACTGTGACTTTGAAGAAGTAGAAACAGTATCAAAGTGTGCAGCTGAATTCAATGGGATCTACAGGAGGTAGAGTTTTTAGTGAACACTGTTATTAGAGATGACTGGCAAAATTTAAGCTTATCTTCATGTTTTTTCCCTTTCATGTGGGAGATGAGTGCTGTCCTGCCCATTGATCGGATATCAATGAATTGGAGCTAATCCTACAATTTGCACCATCTTCCCGACTGTATTTTTTAATCTACCCTCTTTCCATTTGCAAGTATTTTCCCTTTCTTAATCAGGAAAAAGGGGATGGGAACTTACATCCTTCTGGACTTACTTTTTTCTTTTATCTTAGTAAATTCAAACTGAATTTCTGTTAGCTTGTCAATCCTGAGGAAATAAAATGTGTTAATTGAAAATCAGTATCACACACTAAACAATTTTTATGACAAAATTAATGGATTAGAGAATAGAAAATTTGTCTATTTCAAATTATACAAACTTTTAAATATGCACCAATAGGTAAATGATATGAAAATTTAATAATACACTTGCCAATAAAAACAAATCTTATAGCTTTAATATATGTTGAATTGCAATTATTCAAATTATTTTAAAATCATTTGGTAACATCACTATACTATAATTGCATTGATAAAAAAAATTGCTTTCATTGAAAGGTTAATAAAACTTTAAAAAAAAAAAAAAATATTAAGAGCTGCAAGAGAAGGAAAACATAAGTAAAAGTTAGTTATTACATCCTTTTAACAATAAATGACATTAAGGCAAGGCTTTCATTGTTTTCAAAGAAACAAGAAAAACAAATATGACTGCAAATTTTATAAAATCTCGGGAACTTAACAAGCAGTTGCAACATATGTTGAGACAACAGATACACTTGAACATGGAAGTTAAAATTAATTTAATTTTTGTAAAAATCATTATTGCAATTTTGAATTCATGTTACCATAAAAACTTAATAATATGCAAGATTTTGATTCTCACCAGTCAGGGGGTAAAGTGCCAGACCGCGCAGCAGCCAAGCCAAGTTCTGGGTCCAGTTGAGCACTGGACATAAGAGATGTGCGATCATCTGCTGTCTGAATTTGAATTAATTTTTTTTTTTAAATGAATCAATTAACTACTGCCTCTTAATACTTATGTTTTTGCAATGTTTTCTTCAATTTAAAATATTGGTCTACTTAAAAAAAAAGTGTTTTAATTTTATCCTCCAAGCATCATAACTTATTGAAATTAAATTATGGATTCCCCCTTTAGACTCAGTTTTGATATATTTTTCTCTGTTACATTTTATGAAACTATTCCATCAGAAAATGCTCCTTTAAAAAAGAAATATATTTTGTGGGCTGTAAATTTTTCTTTAGTGCTAGTCTACCCAGTCCCTGCTTTCAAGCACAAGTGTTTCCTCTAAGCTGTGGGCTTATAAGCAGTGTTTTCTCTAACTAAGAAGATTATGAAGTGAGCATTACAATGTAATTTACATACATTACTTATACTAAGTTCAATAAAACATAGTGGTTCTATGGTGAGTAAGGGTTGCAGACAATAGCTCAACAATGAAGTATTTTAAAGAAGGTAGTTTTGAACTGTGCCAAAATAAATTAATCAAAAATTATTATTTAGAAACCTGAGAAGAGATTCTATTATTGTGAATTAAATTTGGACTATAATCTAATCCCTTGAATGTGAAGCCTCGTAATACTGCTAGTATAGAGAAGAGGTCCAATATGTGTCCAGCGAACTAATGTCATATCACAAGTCACAAGAAAATGTGAACTGCATTATTTAAAGGTTGGGTACAGAGCGAGCCTAGGGACTTGCACTTTCTGGTTGAAATCTGGTAAAAGTAGGCTACTAAAAGCATTACTATCTAAAAGCAATATTATCAGGATCTAGATGTTCAATTCCAATTAGCAACTATATTATGTCTCTTGGTGTAAAATTCAACTTGCAGTTTGCAGTTTCTTGTGCGGCTAAACTTAGGCTAACGCAAGGGTTCTTGTCTTGTCAGTTCAGTGAGTTGGCGGCAAAGGCACTCACTGATATATTATATAATTATATATCTTAAGTTATTATTTAGTTTGGGCCTTTAATACCCTTTTGTGTAAACAGTACCATAATGGCTTGATCATTTCATGGTGAGTTTTTTTAAAATGTAGTTATCTGAATTTACCACTACACTAAGTGACCAAGTCCAAGAATAACTTAAAATTAAAACGTTGTGGAGTTAGGCTGAGGCTAATTTAATGTGAATTAAGGGCCTAAGGCTTAACTGTTAATTACTAGTAGCATAAATGTAGGCCCAAATTTAAAAGTATTCATTTTAGCCTTAGTATTTATATAGTTAATTAGGCAAATAATCAATAATCACTTCAGTCTCAGTTTTTCCAACTCATCATACTCACTTGTTCAGAGAAAATGTGCCTGCTCTGTAAGGCATTGTTTCTCATTAAAATGAAAACTTCAGTAAGGCTTCTTGTAGCCATATTTCCTATCGATGGGGCTTTCACCAAATAATTGGTGCAATCAGAAATAAGAAGGAAAAGCAGGTTACTTCTATTCTTTTAGTAAATACAAACGTGGATATCCATGACATGGGCCATGATTATTATGAATCCTTTTCTACATTTCAAGCGACATAATACTCTTTTGTGACTTTAGTCGCTTACTAAAATTCAACACAAATAAATTATCTTTTATGTGCCGGTGTTTCGTCGAATACTAAAACATTATATTTTCATACGATTAAAAGGGTGCGTTTAAATGATAGAATATGTTTTAAAGTAAAAATTGAAAACATAATAAAATATTGGTTATCAATTTTTTTTTACATTACGAAATTTATATAATTGCAAAAAAGTTTTATTTATAATAATAATGATGTAAAAGTTTGTATGCGCACCGGTTGCAAATTTCATCGTGATGTCACTCTGTTGACTCAGCTATTCAGTTCCAAACTGATGCTTTATTTTGTATTTACAATGAATAAAATATACTTCTTAACACACTAGCCAATAAACCCGGCGTTGCTCGAAAAAAAAATATTACACTTTTTATTAAGCGTATCAACGTAAACGTTAATTTCTTAATATGTTACAGCAGTGAGTAATTTAAGTTTTAGAGTGAACAAACTTAATTATAAAAGTTGTCCCATTAAAATCATTTGAAAAGCGCCAAAGATGTATCGTTTTTCTTTAAAATTGGGGCACCATGCCAAACAGTAGTGGATATTCTTAGTTTGAAATTCACCTATATTTTAAAAGGGATTATCAAAGGTATGTTTACGCGAAAACTTGCATTGTAAACCAGGCATCCTGCTTGCGTTGTAAACTAAACCTTCAAGCATATCTTTGGCTATTTTATTAGGGAAATAAATTGTAGAGCCTCCTCCACTTATTTTGAGCTCTCTTCCTCTCCCTCTCTCCTACCACCCCTCTTCCTCTGCCACTCTTTATCTCCTACTGCCCTCTCTCACTTCCTCTTGCACTCTTTCTCTTCTTCTCCTACTCACCTCTCTTCCTTTCCGACTCACCTCTCTTCCTCTCCAACTCACTCTCTCCTCCGCTCCCACTCTCTCACTTCAGCCCCACTCTATCCATCTCTTTTCTCTCATTTTCTCTCTTCCTCTCACACCCCATCTTCCTCTCTCCCTCTCTCTTCCTCTCAATATCTCTTCCTCTCCTACTCTTTGTAGCTCCTATCCCTATCTCTTCCTCTGGCACTCTCTATCTCCTACTCCCCTCTCTCTCTTCCTTTCACTCTCTATCTCTACTCAGTCTCTATATACCTACCCCCCTCTCTCTCTCTCTCCTAATCCCACTCTCTCTTGATGTATCACACCCGTGGGTTCACACACGAACTTTGAACTCCAACCAATCAAGTAACACAACTTAATTAAGTAAAACAAACACAGTAAGAAAAGACGTGAAACGTTCGTAATTTTATTGAATAGGTCCCTAGAGAATCCAGCAAACTGTTCCCTAATGTTAAGTAAATTGGTCGTAATGACCTTTAGTTTGGCTTCATTTGAACCAAATTGTGGCCATCATTATGCCTGTTTACATGTTGGGAAATGTTTGATCGAATCTAAATTGTATAATTGATAATTATTGCAAATAGCAAAATTGTTAATGATTGCAAATGGTAAATTTGATGATTGCAAAAACCTAATGAAATACCACTTTTAGTGGACAATTATTCATTTTGCTCTCAATTGTACGCCTTGAAATATGTACCGATGTACAAAAATACATTTCATGTCAGTTTAATTTCATTAAAATACATACAAGTATAATTTTATTTAAAAAGTAATGATATTCACAAATTTTATTTTAAAATAATTTAAAGATACGCATATATGTAACAAAAATAATTGAAGACAGCAAAGTGCCTAGAACGACGATCTCGACATCTAGCACGTCACGGCATCCATCAGTTTCAGTCTGACTCACGTGAATGGAGGATTGCCGCACAGGGTAACAAAATATGCATCGTCATAAAAATATAGGTATACAGAACAGCAAGAACAACCCCCCCCCCACCCCACCAACCTTTTTTCTGATTAATGTCCCACCGGTTCATAGTTTCATTGATATCACAAAGGTTGTAAAAACGTGAATGGAGTATTGCCGCACAGGGAAACAAAATATGCATCGTCATAAAAATAAAGGTATACAGAACAGCAAGAACAACCCCCCCCCCCACCCCACCAACCTTTTTTCTGATTAATGTCCCACCGGTTCATAGTTTCATTGATATCACAAAGGTTGTAAAACCCTCCACATATAGCATACGTGATTTTGAAATAGCTCGTTTCAAATAGATTTCGGAATCCTGGAATCATTGCGGGTCCTATACAAATAAATCATGGAGCAAGATAATTATGGTTTAGGCTTGAAAAGAAAAGACGGGAAAATTAAATGGACGGTAACTCTGGTGTCTTTCCCCCCCAGCCTTAACATATCTTATTCCACTATTTACTTCACACAGCTTGAACGCAGTTCACCACACATTAATAATATTACCCTCGGTTTGATAAAGCATTAAGCATCCCATGAAAACAAGAAGGGTAAAAAAAATCAACTTAGCTGAACTAAACAAGCAGTATAATTTTAATTATTTAAGTTAAGCCAATACACTTTAATTTTCTTTTTTAAACTCCTGTTTCTAGCATGGATGGTAGAGAGTTTGATCACAACAACTTAAGCCCAGGGTCCGCATTGTGCACTATTAGTAAGTCGGCCTATTGGGTGTCAATTTTATTTTTTTCGCTCCTTAAATTCCAATTGAATGACGTCTCATTACTGAAGCATTCTTTAAGTTGAATACACATACATATTTTTGTCACACTTAAAAAAAATTCATCTTGAACATTTTTACTCTGTAACAGGCCTCTATTTTTTTTAAAATGAAAATGTGGATGGGAAGGAGGCAACAAATCAAATCTTTGCGAGTGTCAGAGAAAGACGACACCCCCCCCCCCAAACCACCGCCCCTGATCCCCCTCCCCCCACATGTATTAAGAAAAATGAAAAGGGGGAGGGGAAGGAGGCAACAAACCAAACCTTTGCGAGGGTCAGAGAAAGACGACACCCCCCCCCCAAACCACCGCCCCTGATCCCCCTCCCCCCACATGTATTAAGCCTGGCTTAGCATTAAAGCTTTCCATTCAATTTAAAATGCCAATTTAGCCAGCGTCCACCCCAATCTCCCCACAGTTAAGTGCATATCAGCGATTGATGTGTCTTATGTAAAACCAGATTGTACATAGAGTTGTGCCAGGCTGCACACGCATAGTTGTAACAAAAAGATAAATCCAGTCCAAATCACACAACAAATGAACATGGTGTTACATGAGTTCTAAGTGGATTATTTAAGTGGTACAACATGCCAAAAGTCTTCGAGAACCGCTGCTGCATAGAGTGAATGTAGTTTTTATTTTATTTTTATTATTTTTTATCTTTTTTTTTTTTAGTACGGCATTATATCTCCATGCGCGTCTCTGAACGAGTGGTTGAAATTGATCAGATCCTTCCTCAGCTTAGTGCTGGATACGCCTTCCGTGTAAGGCAAAAACTTCACCGTCATGAGATTCTCGCAGACGTGTCGTGCCGGAAACTGGGGCATGTCGTCACCACGGACGTAGATGGCGCTGTTTCTGTCATTGCTCCTGTCGAATATGTAGTCAATAAATGGACTTGGGTCTGTCCCGGCCACACAAAATACCTGAGAAAGAACAAATCAAAAATATTTAGAGAATCATAGCAAGATAAGTTAGGTGTGCAACCAGTGACGTCATTATAGTTTTCGTCCAGCCACCCCCCCCCCCGCACCAAAGGGTTTGGAGGTGTGGGGGGCTAAACCAAAACTTGGCCCGCTTGTTGAGTTATTACTGAAGGCGCCATAGTACATAGCAATTTAAATAATAAATGCCAGATTATTATTTGGAGCGTTTTAATGAACGAAACAGCTTTTTCGTATTTTTGGCTCAGTTTGATGCCTTGCTGTCGTTAGATGCTGGTACCTAGTACATTCTATTCCTGCTGATTCGGGGGGTGGGGAGGGAAATGCTCCCTCCCCAAATGACGTTCCTGAGTGTACCATGAAGGCAATGTATCACCAGAGGCGTAGCGATGGGGGGAAGGGGGGGACAGATGTCCCCGGGCGCAAGCTAATTAGGGGCGCCAAAATGTGATTTGATATTATATTATTGGTAAAAATAATGGGTTTGAGAGTTGAAAAATAGAAAAGGGGGCGCTTTAAAATGAATCTTGTCCCCGGGCGCGAATCTTGTCCCCGGGGCGCGAATCTTGTCCCCGGGCGCCAAACACCCTCGCTAAGCCACTGTGTATCACCCTGCCATTTTCTCTCTACGTAAATTGTTGTGTCCCTCAAAGCTGTACATATTTTATGGGGGAGGCCGAGAACGATGTGCTTTAATCACGGCAAGGGACTGAACTGGGACTCTCGGATTTTTCGAAATGTATTCACCTTAAGGTTCAAATTACTATCGATATGAAATCGATAACAGTTTATTATTATTTAAAGGGATCTATAAAGGAATCTTGAACACTCTTGGTGACCTTACCTCATCTGCATATTCTTTGACATTTCTCATCCGGGTTGTGGTGCTGTCTATCGGGACTCGCTTCTTCAGCTGATAAATGCTTCGACTGTCGTGTACCCCGACTATGACCTGTTGGTGATGGACAAATGTAATGTAAACAGGAAATTGTAGCAGGTTATTTAATGCTATCGTCCTCAATATGTGATGTCATCTAGGAGAATTCCTTTGAAATTTCGCTTCCGACCATTGGGACGTCTTTATAAGAATAATTCAACGGGTCAATTTTGTTCCGAAATAACCATCACCTGCGTTCAGTCACATTGGGCATGTTTTAAAGAATTAAGCTGTTAATTATTTATTTACCACTGGGGGCAAAAAAAAAAAAAAAAAAAACAAAAAAAAAAAAAAAAAAAAAAAAAAACAACAACAAAAAACAAAAAAGCAAAAAAACCAAATATACTTACAATTGAATAGAATTTAATTTTACATGTTTGATTAAAACCAACATTTAAGGAATGTTTTCTAACAAAATTTTTTTTTGTTATTTGTTTTGTTTGTTTTTTGTTTT